CGCAGCTGCTCCTGCGCCTCCGCCAGGTGCGCCGCCACCTCCAGGTACCGCTCCTGACACACAATCGTACATGAAATACCACGACCATACAGAAGACAGGCGTCAAGTAGGAGCAATTTCGCTTACAGTCTGATGAGTGTGGTGCCGAAAACATTCATACAAAACATCACTATCTAACAAATTTGTTACTATAACACCTTAAATTCATAACCTTTAAAAAAATATATTTAATATTGACATAGATTTTAGTCGAACCCCAATAGGTTTTTAAGTTATAATTTAATGCTTCATTTTATTAAGAATATGGTCTGGTTGTCATTTTAATGTATTGATAATGTAAATCAGAATGACAATAATACATACCTTGGCATCAGCCAATTCTGCTGCGAGTGCATTTTGATTTTCCCTAGTTATTTCTAGAATTCGTAACGTGTGCTCGTGTTCGGCTGACAGCTGTGAAAAACATACTTTATAATATACTGTCAAATCATTAGACAAAACATAAAATACAAAAGTTTACGTATATTTAATTTACAAAATAACAATTCATAATGATGATAACAACATTTGGAATGTTCGTGTTTGGCGATAATGTGTGATAAAATCTATTTTTCAATCGTTTTCGACCTAATTACGAATAACATATTGGATTGCAGACAGTGATTGCTATCTCCTTATATACAAAATTCAATACACAACAACTGTCTTTGATATTAACATGAATTTCGCATTTGGAAGCTGTTTTTAGTTAGTGTATTTATAACGCACTAGCTATTACTCGCGACTTCGTCCGCGTGAAATTTTAAAAGTATAGCTCATAATACTCATTCTTAAAATAGCTTTTTAATGATGCCAACATTTTTAAAACCGGCCCAATAATTCTTGAGTTATTTCAATACGCATAAAAGTCCAAAAATACAAATCTTTCCTCTTTTAACATTAGTATAGATGTACGTAGTAGCTAGTATACCTGTTGCAAATTGCGTTCAGTGAGAAGAAGCCTGGAGTTGGCGCTGTCGAGCTGCTGCTGCAGCTCTGCAGAGCGCTGCCTCTCCTCCGACAACTCCGAGCTCAGCACATTCGCCTCGCTGTTTGCACTCGCTGGAAATATTTTAATATATTTAGTAAACCTAACCTAAAAGTTACTATCAGAAGGTGAACAAATGACATGAAAATTACATGTAAAACACTATGTTAGAACCATAAAAATTTCATTAAAAATGTACTGGTTGCAAAGCAAACTCATTAAAGAAGTAATAACTAATCACATGAAATATTTTCACTTTACATAGTCGCATTTTTTTGTCTGTTTATGTCGTACATGATAATCTTGAGAACTGCAAAGTTATTAAATCCGTTTATTATTTTCTTTGTTAACAGCACTTGCAAGGCAGTAATTGCGAACTACAAAATAGTTAATTAAGATATTGAGTGCATGAATACCGATTGCTTCGGCTGTGAAGAAAGTTGCGGTGAACGCGCACGCCATCTATTGTTGGCACGGCCTTCGTATTTATCAGCGAAACAATTGTTTCTTTGTTTATACGTGCAATCTTTTAAGTATGTAAATACAAAAAGTACAACAAATAGTTTTGATTAAACTATTAATTAATATAAATTAACAATAAAGCTAAAACTAAAAACGACTATGAATAGAATCGAATAGTTTTTTTTTTTAAGAAATGATAATAAACACTGACTTGTACTTAAATTTTAATAAAAGTGTTGTACAACCGCAGTTTTTTTTTACATTAGAGTACTATGATATGTTGTCTGTGTATTTAATACAAATAAACCAAGCTAACAGTTTTCCACTTTCTTCTTTATTTTTGTAAATGTTGATTCTTCTTACTCGATGAAAAAGAACTCGTTGAAACAAGTATGGTCTGACAGGGTGCAAGTCTTCTAGAAAACACACTGCTAGGCCACCTTGTTACACCGAACTCACATCTTCTCTTCGCTTCATTACATCTTCTATCTTCTGCCTAGTACTATCCACAACAATTATAAATGGATTCAAAAAAAATAATTCCAAATAAGATTTAATATATAATATACTGTTCGAATAATTGAAAAACTAGCACGAAATAATGATGAATGGTAGATTATGGTTAGAGTTAAGGAAAAGACAAGATTTTATTTTCTTCAAAATGTAGAATAATAAGTTTCTGTACGAGGAAAATGTATTAAGAAAACCGCATTTACGTTTATTTACGTATCTGATAATAAAATTTAACCTTGCAATGGTTTGATTTGCAATATACAAATACAAGAAACGATTGAGTGCCTTTGTAATACATTAGTGTGAACAGCTTATGCAATCTGTTAATGTATTTATCTGTTTATTGTTCAATACTAATAAAATTATCGCAAAATACATATTTATTTCATTTACGACTAGCTGTTGCTCGCGACTTCGCCCGCGTGACATTAAAAAACATAACCTATCTTACTTGCAGATCGGCCCAGTAGTTTTTGAGTTATTTCAATACATACAAAAACACAAATCTTTCCTCTTAATAATATTAGTATAGAAAAATAAATAATTCATACCCATAGTTGATTAAAACAGACTAACATACTTTAAGCACATAGTTAAAAGAAGAAAAACTTCTAACCAAATGTAAACTACACAAAAATAAACAGTAGTCTATATTTTTTGTTCAAAATAAACAATGAGAACAAAGTTATTTCAAGCAGTCAACAAATTACTGCAGTAGTTAGCACGCTATTGCGGTACAAATGGAATTTTCTGCACAAAACATAGCATTTAGTACGTATATTTGAATCCGTAGTTAATTTAAATAGAACAAGCAAGGAAATTAATTTAATCTGAAAACACTTTCTAAAGTCATATGAAAATAATGACATAACATCGTTAAATTTCATATATCTCAAATTATATATGCATATATCTTGTTATGTGTTCGGATTATTCGTTACAAGTATAAGCTTTAATTAATGTGTATAATTGTTTACGAACTGTAACGTTGCTGCGATCGATTCTCCGTAGTTGCCATTGTCCGCGATTGGTTCCGCGCCGCGTCGTCCCGAGCTTTGAGTTACATACCGATGTTGTAATACAACATGACGAAGCGCGAATTATATAAACAATTTGTCACACAATTTGTTTTGTTTTTTACATTTTATGCGCCGATCTCTGTTTAAATTTACAGGATTTCTGTCGGTGATACTACGCCTCCGTATTCCTACCGTTGGTCATATACATTACAGACAGTGTGGCCGTTTTTAATGTTGAAGTTTGGCCACATTCCTGATATAATCCTAGAGTGGCCCACATGCAGATGGGCGATCGAGTGAGTGGAACCGATAGCGATTTGTGGGGTTCGGGTGCTCCCGCAATCTCCGTGTCAACCAACCATTGGCAAGGCAGATCTGCGTTATTGCGTCGCTGTTCCCCCTCCATTCCTTCCCTCTACATTCGGGTTAAACGCGATACTAGATTTGGGCTGAGGAAGTACTTACAGAGTTGGTTGGCGATGTCCCTGAGCAGCTGTCGCTCGGCCAGCTCGGCGGAGTCAGCGCCGGCGGCGAGCCGGGCCGCCTCGTCGCGCAGCGCTCGATTCTCCCGCTCCAGCGCGCTCGTGCGCTTGCGCAGCGCCACCGCCGTGGGCGGCTCCTGCTCCTCTGTCGGAGTGCTGTCCTCTGTGTCATTTGTTAGAACCTACACAATATACGGAAATTACATTACAAATAACGTTTTTAAGGTTTTATTGCAAACATTGTAAAGGACGTATCGCAGGCAAGGCGTTTAAACGTAATAATAAAAAAAACATAAAACAGAATTAAAAAATCGTTTTATTAGTTATTTTTTTAATTAACTACGGATAAATAAAGTTAATTAAAATGCAAGCATCGCGCCGGTTCATAATAATGTTTATCTAATAAAGATAAAAATGTCACAATTTTATTAAAGTCACGTAAAGGATATGCGTATGGTTATCGCGAGATTATGATCTTACAGCCGACGCCTGTCCCATTGAATGTTGAAAAATGTAAACAAAGTACACTAGTCTGTATTATCATTATGCACACATCCCATTTATGTTAAACAAAAAATAAGGAAGGGACAATATAACTTGACAGTAAAATTTGATATAACACTCGAAATTTGTTGGATAATAACGTCTGTAATGAACATGAAAACAAATATTTTCATAACAAATGATTTGAACAATTAGACGTCGTCAGCGTTACCGTAGTTATGACGTGGTTAACTTCATGAATAGAATAAATAGGGCATTGAACTAATGTCTATTTATCAATAACATAAATACAATAGAATAATGGACATAATTTTTATATTTAAAAAAAATAACACATTAATTTTCGAATCAAACTTACCATTAGGTTATACACCGGCTAGTATAGGTTAACGACATTGAAATGACTGCCGTTGATAAATGAAGGTCAAATATTAAATGTAACAAAACGTTATTATTCGGAAACTGATATAAAAACCACAAGAACGGCAATCACATAATAAAAATCTTTAAAACACTAAATTAATGAACTTCACAATTTATTGAATAAAATTCCGACTCCGCTAGATATCATTTGCATTGATCAGATCACGTGATTTCTTTTTGGCTATCAATGTTGCCATATACATTTATTCACTTTATTACTTGTTATAAAATATTTATGCAATAAAAGAAATTAATACGTAGATATTTAATCTACAATATTGTTTATAGTGCCGTTAGTGCGGAAAGTTGCTTATATTCATATTTCCGATTTCCAATACTGATGTAACGGTTACGCGCTAACATGGAAGTCGATTTGAATACGGTACTTGAAATATGGTTACGGTCAAAATAACAAAAAGCTGTGATTGAACATGTTTTTATATTAGCCTTCTCCCGCGAGTTCGTTCGCGTGAAATTAAAAAAGTAAGTAGCCTATGTGTTCTTCCAGACCATCCTATACATCTATGCCTAATTTCATTGATATTCGTTCAGCAAGCAGTTTAATCTACAAACTGTAACAAACATCCATCCATCTAAAGTTTCGCATTTATAATATTAGTAAGATTTAAAGTTATGGGTTAGGTCATATAAGTTTTCTTTAGAAACGTAACAATACCGAACGTAAGATTTGTAGCCATAACAATGGATTTCAAAGAATTTACAAAGTCTATTGTTTTACAGGGTTAGCGTATACTCAATATTAAACGTTATCATTTAATGTAATGTGAAAGTATGATTGTGCTTAAGACCGGTTGTGCGTCTTGATGAAAATTGTTGAACCGTCCTTACAGTCGTTGCCACGAAATAAACATGAACTAAGAAATCGGAAACCTTATTCTGATTTCAAAATACGATTTATAATAATTGTAATCTGATATATCAGATTAGATCGCCATTTTTTTTTATATAAATATTACAAAATTCCAATTACTATTAATCGCATATGTGTGCGTAGAAAGTATGTTGCCGTAGATTTACACTGTCGAAATGCTTTATTAGTATTTCGTCCTTTTTCATTCTTCTTGTAAATATTGAGATAACAATGATTGGTCAGCATTTATGCCAATAGAACTCATGCTCAAAGCCCCAGGTGAAGATCAAGTTACCTTATAAATGTTTAAATGTGTATGGTCGAGTATATAGAGTATATAATACAGGGGAATTTTTATACCTGTATACAGGGGGTTTATTTCTGTGTTTACCTGCAGCAGTTCAGTCTTGGCGTTGAGATCGTGGCGGAGCTGTGTGACGAGGTCCCGCGCACCTCGCAGCTCGCCCTCGAGTGCGGTCACTCGCGACTCCAGCCGCCCGTTCGCCGCCAGCAGCTCCTTGCCGATGCGAGCTGTCAGCTCCAAATCCTTCTCTTTCTACAAAACATTCATTAAAATGACAATTTCAATTCACACTTATACCGTTGGAACGGACAATACAGAGTGCTTGAAGTAATAGCGTATAGGTTCTTGTTATAGTTTGCCTAGACAATAACAATACAATCTATTATAGAGTGTTTAAAATCAAAACAAGATAAAGGAAATAGATACATTAGATAACCTCATTTAAAAATAGGTCTGTGTTTATTTTGCATTAATTTATTTTACACGTATATTATTTAAAAACATAAATGTACTCACTTCTTCTAAGAGCCGTGTTACCGCTTCGATGTCATTGTAGGTCTTTGTCATTTGGCTCACCCTGTTGCTGCATAGAACTGTAAACAAAATAAAACAACTATATTTACACTTCTTTTTTAAATCCACTTATGATGTGATTTTGAGAAAACATACTGAAAACACATAAAAAGAAAATATTACAAAGGCTTTAGAAAGAAGAAACTAATGTGCATTTTATAGTATAAACTCTCACGACTTTTTAACCAACAGTAATTAACATTGCTATTCGATTTTCAAGATTATGGAGGACAAAAAAAACATAAAATTAAATATCTATTATTTAGTTACTTTTAAACAAACAATAACAATAAAATTTCTTAGAGCAATGTTACGGTAAAGTCTCCTTTTATAAAGCGCGTAGTTTTTTATAAAGTTTTCACATTTTTAAAAGCTCTAACTCACACCTTTCTATGCCTAAATAATCCAAGCAACAAATACTGCTCCACTTTTCACAACTACAACATCTAAAACATCATGTACAACATTGATTGACGAATATAAGATTAAAAGAGAAAGTTCCAAAACTAATTACTATAACAAAGATAGAACTTTTTTTAAATTGTATTGTTTCCATGATTGACCTCGCGATCAAGATGCGCGCATGCAACTACCGAAACGGGAGACGTATTACGTTTTCACATAACTTTCACTCCATACTCGTATCTAATGAAACACTATGAATTATAAACGTCTGAACAATAAGAAACAACCGTACCCGACATAACACAGAATACTTAACGGACGCTTAAACTGTTGTGAACTGTCGAATGAAGCGTTTACACCTGAAAGCATTTAATCGACACAACACACATAGCAGATAAGATATACATTCTCAAAGGACACTACACATTGTTTAAAATAAATACGAACCCGCTAAAATATCATCGATATTATTAAGCACGTTCATTAGTCCGATTTTAATTTACGATAACATTCTTGAATGTGATTGATTAAAAAAATTACAAATTGATCGATGTTATTGGCGGATCAAGTGTGATAACACTTGCGACAACCGAACGACCGAATAAGAGACTGCGAGTGCAGAGAACGCGCCGCCCGCGCCCGAGCTAAACAAAGTGTTCTATTGTGCAACATGGGAAAAATGAGTACGGGAGACAAAACATGCTTACAGTTTATTGATACCTGTCTTACCACAGATCAGGTCAACACAGAAGTGACATCGAAATCAAAATAGATTTAATCTAAAACTCAGGCGACTACTCATCGAAAGCTACATGTTGCATTTTAGGTAAACATCTAATAGATGGATAAGCCAAGGGACTTGAGAACAAAAATCCGCAGTGACTTAAATTATTAATGGTGAATGACAAAATCATACAGAAATTTGATGTTATTCCAGAGAATGACAAAATTTTCTTAATGTTAGCACATCTTCACAACAGATCGATCTGTTTTCAATTAAATAGCTTTCTAACAGCAAAAGAAAAGCATGGGAAAATGTTTAAATCACAACTTACAATGTGTTCACTTTTTATAACCCCTTACCTAACACGTAGCGCGGTAAATGCGTAACGATTGTCTACACACTTTATTTCCAGCTACTTTCCGTGAATCGTGTGTGACATCAACAGGACAAAGATTCGACGAGTGGAAAAACATTAAGTAAAAGCCACAAGTGTGAAGTATTTTTCGAAAAATATAAACAGGAATTTCTTCTTTATTTATATCTCATTTCGGCATCTTGCCAACACACAGACACGTGATCTATCTAATTTTTTCCAAACTTACGCCGCTTAAACATTGACATTGAGTCGACTTCTTGTAGTTTATATTCATTATAATAAAAACATCCAACGCAAACGTTGTTTAAAAAGTTATCGGAACATACATTACTATTACCATAAGACATAGCTACTTTAAAAAAAATAATCTATTACGAAATTAAGGTACTCATTGTATTTTTAGGAAATATCTTCACCTGAAAATAATTTCCATCGTCTACACGATGATTGATTTAATATAGTTAAGCAAAATACTAACAAATTATCACTTAGAGCACAAGATAAATGACCTCAGCTATAATAATATTTTCATTTTTACTACCTATTGTGTCCGCCAACGCGCCAAGTGAATTGTTTATTATACGAGTATTGTCTAGTCATACTAACATATGATCGAATGTCGCCGCAGGTTATATAAAATTCGATTACAAATACAAATAGATGATGAAGTAATGACGACCAAAGCAAATAGAGAAGAAAAGCGAGATAGGATATTGCGAGATGATGAAGAAAAACGCTCAAGTATTCGCTAGTCGTGTGAAGGTGATGAGATGATCAGTGCGATGAGTTCAGGCATTGCCGTACCTCGATCAAGGAGCAAGGTCCTTATGACGCGAAAGTAGAGCCGGCCGAACCTGTCGCGCGCCACATGGTACAGGAAGTCGGGGTACTCGCCGAGGCACTCGCGCAGCTCTGCGTCGGGGAGGAAGCTCAGCTCGCGGAACAGTTCGCGATCGAAGCCGGGCGGCGGCGAGGCGCGCCCCCCGCCCGCGCCCTCCCCCGCGCCGCCCTCCGCCGCCGCCGTGGCGCGCCCCAGCCGCGGACATCGGCCCCGCCCCGCCCGTCCCGCTCACCCCCGCCCACACGGCGCACACCCTTGCGTCACCCCCGAAGTGCACCACCCTGCATCGACGTCCTATTGCAAATGTCCCCCGACGCTTACTGATACATAACTCATCGTAGCACTCCACTAATTATATAGTTTATTTTAAAGTCTGGTAAAAACCTGGCAGAATCGTGATGTGTGTATTAGAGGAAAACACTGATAAATGTATTACATTGTCAGGTGACGTTTACGTGCCTGTCACATTTAAAAATTAGTCTTGTTTGTACTGATTGAAATTTAGATATTACGTCTAATGTGCAAACTTCAGTAATCAGAAACTAATAACATTTACTAAATAACACCTCCTTCCACGAACACTGTAGAATAAGAACTGGCGCATAAAATATTGTATTGGATGTTTAATATTATCAATTATGTTTATATCTAACAATATCAATTAAACAAAACCATTGGAATTTATGATTACCTAGAGATTACAAAAGCAAGGATATTGATATTAGTCACTGTAATAAGAATCCACCATATAAATACATAAGTCATTTCAATTTACAAAAGGGTATCTTTACTCATGGATTAAATCAGCTTAAAGATCATAAATAACTTCTTCGAACAATAATAAGAATTTCTTGTTTGTTTTATAGCGGAGCAAATAATAGACGATCCTAGCCTATTGTGACAAATGTAGTTAATGAACTCAACCAACATCATGGTCAAGAGGAAATATAAAAAAAACACGATTTACGCTAATTGCATCCTAACCTCGGCGTTTAACGTTGCAAAACTTCGAGAAAATATCATTCTATCTTAGAATGCCCATCGTGTGCGCCGTTACGACGAATAACAAAGATCAAGTCAAACTGGACATGAAACTATTAAATAAAATGTGAAGACGTTAAAATAATTTACAATGTTATGAATGACGTTCGAAGTTAACGCGCAAAGGCTATAAAAACAAACAATGGCGACAGAAAACTAACCATGAAATTGAATACTTAGTTCTTCAATTATATTTATACCAATTGCTGTATTGAAAAACCTGTTTAAGTTTTCACTGACACCAAGTCATGTTGTAAGAAGCGGCAAAAGGTCGGAAAGCACGTGACGTGTTCAGTTGACGTCAAATAACCTTGCCTTGTTCGTGTACTGCTTTTTGACACAAGCAGCACGGCAACCGGCATCCATTGCGATATCACGAAATGTTAATGTAATAAATATATTTTGAATGCAAATAAGTTAGCTAAGACAAATTGGCAGCGATCGAATGTTTTTCTATCAACAAAAACATTAACAATATGCTACTAGGTAAATCATTTCTATAAAAACGGTAATCACGATCTATTGATAAGGAAGAAATGATATCCGGTTATAAGCAGAATCTTAAAACAAGTTTTAAATTTATTTTGTATTTTATGAACATGGTCCTACCTCAAGGTGTTTACCTTTATATAAAAAATATCTCTTTATGATTCAGCAACAGTGAGGACTTCTTCAATAAAAAAAAAATCGAAATTAAGTTTAAATCTTAAACAATGGACCATGTATCATAAATATTTATAATTTCGCATATAAACTAAACTCTTGGTGGAATTAAAACAGTTTAAACTTGTTTATTATTTCAGCTGTGAGACATCGTCGTGTATTAAGGATAGTTTTTTTATTAAACATGAAATATACAATAATCATGTTATCATTTCCTATGCATTATTTCATGAGTCGAGTTAATTCATAAGGCTATTCTAATGCGTATCATCTGACAGTCAGATGGTTACAATAACAGTATGAGGGAATACAAAAATTTAAAGATGGCAGCAATGCTTAAAATATTTCAAATATTCAAAGAGTATATTTAGAATAGCATCGGTTTATAATTGAAGTAATGTAGGTCGAATCGTAGCCTGAAACCTATCAAAGCGACACATTGATCGGATTAAGTGCTTTAAACTGTAAAACTTTGGCGTCTGTTTTATCGGATACGCGGCTTGGTGCAAAACCTTGGCCCGCATATGTCAAGTATTACCCCTTTAGAAATGCTGAGCTGCATGCGGCATTATATTGCAATTTTATGTAGCTCTCTAGGCCAACATTATTGACACACGACAAGTTATTACGGAGAAAGTAAAACATAGCACGTGAAAGTTTCACGAGCATCTGAATTATAATAACAAAAAGTAATTCCCGTTAAGAATTCTTAAAAGAAATTAGACAAAACCAGAATTGAAATACAAATATTTCAAATAAATTCTTATTACAAAGATAAGGTTGACTTATTTGCACAATAATTTAAATATGTTTGATATATCGCGATGTTTACTGAAAATATATTGAACTACCTTCCATCGACTTTAAAATGCAAATTGTGTTAATTTAACTGAATTGTTTGTCTATTAAGTGGGTAATAAGAACGTCAAACAGAAAACGTCAAGACTAAATTATGACTGATAACGATAAGAACATTATCAAGACGAAGTTAATTCAAGTACATTTTAATAAATTAACTAACGTTTCTTGATACTTGCAAAGTAAATTTTCTTTACTTAATACAATTTCAAGTATGGACACGAATGAAACGTTTTTTGAATACTAATTCGCTATTTCTGCTTCAATGCGGTGCGTTTAGAGCTGTAAGTGTGTTGCGTGATACTAAATTACATATATTGTAAAATTCAAACCATATCTCGAATTGTATAATCAAAATTATAAAGTACAAACACATACACATAAAAATTAAAAAGCAGTAACAATTACTAAGAATACAATAATCGTTTATGGGGAGAGAATCTTAATCACCAAACACGTGAACAAATATCAAAAAAGCTTTCTTATTTGGAATGTCAATGAAAACGATAAGAAAGTTTCACGATCAAGTGCATGTGTATGCAACACTGAATCACACACAATGTGTCACACACAAATTATTGTATCGGGCAAGCACCGCGCATTGGACGACCACTTCCGTCCGCACCGCGGCTATAACTAAGCTGTGCTCTGGCCACGATTACGGTTGTACGGCTAGCATTATAACTGTTAAGATTGTTCACACTATTACGACTCTTATTTAGAAAGCAATTCAATTGATAATAGCATACAATGTAATTATACATTACTATCGAGTACAGCATGTGCGTAATGTCTCGAGACGTAGGGTTAGCAGCGGGTCTTGCAAAATTGATAAGAACAGTACATGTATAAAATTAAATTCGAACTACCAAAAGTTATTAAATACAATAAAGAAAGTCATCGATGAAATAAAATACCTAATCAATACTTTATATTACTTAAGGACAACTTAAACATTGCGTTGTCCTTGTATACGTCTCCGTGTATAAACAAAAAAATATAAATATATAGAAAGCTCACGCATATTTTAGCAAACATGATTATACAAAACGGGCAAGCCTTTTATTATACTGAGCCGTTTTACAATAGTTTATTAGAGCAACATACTGATAAGTAAGCTATGATGGACGTAATAAATTCTGTGTGCCTCTCACGGTCAAATACAGAGCGTCTGGAGTACTGCGCAAGTCGCAGTCAGGACCGGACCCGGGGCAGGGCCGGCGACGCCGTCGCCGTGGACTTCGCGCCGCGACTCCCCGATTCCCGGACACCTAAATCGATGGATCGCCGACTGGGCGTCGAATTTCGCACCGCGCAACCGAGATGCGTTAAAAGGAACGATCGATGCGAAAATATTCGCCATGCGGAGGCTGGTTACCTTCAGTAAAATGCGTATCCTTGTTCATGGTAATGCGTGATATGATGTGATGTAATTTAGCAATTGGCAGGTGATTCGCGGGAGTTCGATAAACCAGCAAGTGCAGCGGTGCACCATTCCTCGCTATGTTTAGCACGCCCGGCGCGTCGTGGTATCGATCAGAGGCGCGCGTGTCGCGTCTGCACCGGCGCGGCCCGCACTGCTGTCCGCGCGCCCTTCCCCGCACACCGCCCCGTAGCCCGGCACCGCGCACGCGCGCTGCGCACTCGGACACCTAACTTGCGTTTCACGCGCTACAATACCATTTTTTTATTTTAGTAGACACTATTATTGACGTGGTATTTTTCACTTGGTATCAATAAATAAAATTTCTTATCAAAAGCATAATCATCACGATTTAGCAAATAATTTAAATCCGACCAAGTCATCGTCTGCGCCGACGTCAAATCGATTTTTTGTAAAACCGGGAGACGCCCTAAACGGGTTGTATCTATCTATAGCTGCTTATACATTATGATCATGAGTCCGCAATTCTGCGGAACGAAACTATAATAGCGATACCGCAATGGCAAAGAGATTGTTGCAATTTGCTTTAAGGTCAACATCTTAACAAAACAAGCAATGTACCTATAAAGGAACTTGTATTAGTAAAGATTTTGTCCATATGTCACGTGTCAACAACGAAATAAATACCATATGACTTAAAATACAGCGCAAGGAAAGTTAAAAATCATAAACAAGGTTTCGGTCTTTTCGTTTAGGATAGAACAGAGAAAAATAATAGGTGTTCAGCAGGAAGTCTAAAACTTGATTTGTTTATGAAATACGGTGACGTTGAGAAACTCGTTTTATATGGAAATAGATTTACTATATCGTAAGTAGACATTAACTTTTAATCGTAAAACACTTGCCTTCAACGACTCCTAATATAAATATTGTGATTATTCCTTTCTTTATTTATTGCAGACTATCCATTAAGAATTACGTTTATCGAGCTTTTCTAACACTAGCATAAAGTCCTTATAGGTGGTGACGAACGCGTTGGTCTATTTTCCAATCGTTCAAACATCTTATACCGAGAATTTCATCTCGGAGAATAAAGGCAGGTAAACATTAAAAATAAGGAAAATAGTCAAATTTAAAATATTCTGCAAAAACATCGACGACTCGATGCAAACAAAGACATCATTACCATTAATCGTAGTTAATTAATGAAATTTAAAAATGAGGCGATACAATAACTGTCGTGAGAGTTTATATTTTTTTTACATGTTAGCACAAATAATAAATAGGAAACAAATGTCAAACCTTAAACAATTGAAATGAACACAATATGCTATCAATAAATTTATAGTACTCACGGAAATAATTGAGTGTTTCCCTGATCTGATCAGGCGTGAGAGCTAGATCTTCGGAGCTGAGCGGCAGCGCCGGCGAAGGTATGAACCAGTCCTGATTCTCGTACCCTGTAACAAAATACCGAATTTAAACATTTACAAACATAAATAAGTTATACGTACCAACAATCAGTCATATGCTACAACTGTCTGAGTAGGATGAGTCACACAATGTCCTCGTTTCATCCAGTTCAATCGTGATATTAACTGGCACATGTTTAAATTGGTACCACATTTGATACTAACGTGTGCACATCACTACGTTCGTTCTCACGGTCAAACACTAGCCCTGATAAGTCAGGGCGCAGGTTATCACACTGTATAGTCCAACAACATAATGACTATACAATTATCAAAAACATTCACAGCTGTGTAAACGTACACACTGTATCAAATAGAGGACCCAAATAAAGAAATTTGGAAGCCGCCCTACGAGATTAATATTTCTAGTTTCGATCAATCTTACAAAGAACCTTAGAAACCGGTTTAATAGCTGCTAAAGGTACTTGTCGCAGGGTACGTATGGAATGAGAAGCTTTCACTCGATCCAGTACATTTATTAAGTATGTAAATATACCTCATTCTGCACATATTTCACTTAATTACTAATTATAAATTACCCAAAATGTTATTGGGTTATCAACTACGTCGGTGAACTAAAATCAGCGTAACTATAAATAGTTGCAGCTGAATTGTAATATTTTTCATTACCTCGCCATTTCTTTATATTCGTACAATCGATTGTAAGTCTAATCGATTACCAAAGAAACTCGATCCTTTGTCTAAATTTAAGACAGTTTATCATGTCATTGATGCTTAAAGCACGTAGAAATCCAAGCATTTTGCATCAAAGAGGTATTCATTCATATTTCACTTTCCAAGACAAAAAAATTTCTGCATTGATTTAATTCGACTATAAAATAGAACAGAACCTGCTTTGATACAGAAATAGATCTTAGACCATAACTATATCGCAGATTCCGACAGACGTCATCAAACGTACATAGTCTGGTATGCAGTATGCGTGGAACTTCAAGTACCAGTCAGTTGACAGAGATCGCGGGTTAGACCGGTCAGCGGACGATGACTCGCACCGATGAGACACCATTATTAATAGAGCCGTGCGACGCCGGCGCCGGAAACCCAGCCTCGGCGCTTTGTGGCACGGAACACCAGTTATGTGCACACTAATTAACATTCTATAACACTTATTTTTCCACACATTTAGATAACTTTCAATGTTAAGTAATCGTTTCATGTCAATGATAATCATGCACTATTAAATTACAAATTTATCATTTTAAGAACGCACACCTTAGACTAAATTATAGCATAACTGTTTAGTCGCGCTGTGATCCCTAAAAATAACGCGCACAAAAATACGATCGCACATCAGTTGTGCGATAGTTTTGTCAAAGGTTGTTATGATATACCTAACGTTTTGTATTTTGCGACTTAATCACTATCACTATAAGTAATATAGGTTAAGGCTACACATAACATATTATAGTGTCACGATATGCGTTTTTATTGGCATGCATAATAGCATTTAAGAAGGTCTTAATTTACACGATAACGGTTAGCAAAACGAAGAATATACTAAACACAAATAGAAAAATTGTAAAATCATGTCGACACAAACTGTCAACCCTGACTGTGAAAACAGATACTTGCATCTTTATTGTATGGTTTAATTAGGGATACATTTTAAAGCCACACTCTCAGATAAAAGGTCATTTCACACGGAATGGTGCGATAAAGTACAGATAAATCTTAAATAATGCTAGATTAATAGTCAGGTGGGCGCAGTATCTGTGAGAAATATGCAGACAAAAGCGGATCACTGATAATGCGGTGTTGCATTTAAGCTTTATCTTTCATGATATCGATCTGATTTATGCGCAAATGAAGCCTTGGATATGTCAGAGAAAGCGGATAATCTGTCAATTACACTAATTAAAAATATTCAACAAACTTCCGCATTATTTCACTTTAAAAGTGAACAAGTGTAGGTTGTCCACAAAGCTAAACATTTTTTCTCACTTTTAATCATGTTATCCAAAAACAAATTATTTCTAATCTGCTGAAAATTTTACATTTGATAGCAACAGCACTTACACCTATCTTTTTAGTTCGCATAACATACGTAATTAAACATGGCCTAGATCTGTTTTCTCGGTCGTATGAAAATATCTTCAACCTCTTTTCTTAGCTACACTTATCTGTCAGTTATTTGCAAATGAAAATTAAACGTTCTTTTGAAATTACAACAACAGAAAAAATAAGACATGGGAAATACACATTTCTGTACATTTTCAAATAAGCGACTTTTATATTGTTTTTCCGAAGATGTTGAATAAAACCTGTTAGTTTTTCATCTTCTTCTTAAATCAATCTTGTGGGAAACTGATTATACACTTAATTGAAAAAAAAACAAAAATAAAACCATACACTGCAAAAGAAAAATCATACATTTGTTTTGTTTTCATTGGGAAGTCGCACCTTTTGTTCAGAGCGTTTTGGAAGCGTATTCGCGACAACAAAGGAAAATTAAAATATTACCTCCGAATTGTGTGAGGCTGTCTGCTCGCAGGCGGTATTTTGGTATGTGTTCTTGCAACAAGCTGACGATTTCTACTTCGGGCACCTCCTCGCTGTTGCACACCTCTGTAGACAAAAGAAAAACAATATGAATTAAAGGACCAAATTTTATACATATTTTACATTATAATTCACCCTACGACACTAGGTGGACAGAGATAAAGGATGTTCATTTTCGAAAAGCCCGAAACATTTTAGTTTCGTCAAGTTTATACAACTACAAAAACATACACGATGTTAAGGGACACAAAAAACAGAACGTCTGTACACTAGACGCTCTTTCGTCTAGGTTATCCCCTACAATAGGTCTTCTCACATTTGCTATAGTGCAGGCATTAGGCATCTAATAACTTGCCGTTAGATTAGTTTTCTTCGCGTAAGTGAAACTTTACGAGTAAAACACGAAGTAAGACAGTGAATTGGCTAGAAAGTCTCTGGTTTGAATACGAAGTCGTGACTTGGAACTTGAACTTGAGTTGTGGATAGCGATAAAACACGGAACGTATTTGGCACGGGCGTCTACATTCCGTATTTAGCATGGAGGCACCAGACAGAATCGATAAAGCTCCCCCTCACGTCAGAGGGAGAGGGATAGAAGGGGGAAGGGAGGTGGGTATGCGCGTCATCTGCAAAGCCGTAGTCCCCGAGACCCTGCAAATATTAATCATGTACGTACACAGATGAACCCATCTCAATACATAACTTATTACTCTTTAAACTTGATAATAAAATTATTTGCATTATAAATCTGCATATAGAAATTCCATTTGGCTTCAAACACGCATTTCAATTTGAAAGTCTTACAAATTACTAGGCTAATGACGTTCTTGTCTTTTTACGTGTATGACAAGGCATAACGGGCAAAAAATTTGCAGGCTTTAGAAGCTGGACTTTCACCTGTTGATGATATCGAATATGATGGTCAAGTATCCACACCTGAGAATAGGATGCAACATTTATGTATTTCATATTACAAGTTGTAACGACAATAAAAACAATTGGTACCGATTTTATGGGAGTGGCAAATATCACACTATCGCAAGGATATAATATTCAGTTTGGCCAAGAGTCTCTATTTTTTAAGTTTTTTTTTTATATATAAAATATTCTCTTAGACATAGATGGCATGACCTACTCAATTAAATAACACCGCTAATCAATAAGTAAAAGACCTTATCATAGAGACCACACAAAGAAACCTATTCAATATTTCCTTCATTCCGGAAAAGGTCATACAATACAATTCCTTTGTATAATCCATTGTATTTTAATACATCCGATCGCGTTAAAACAAAATATAAGAATACGCTTTAAAAGATGTTTGTCGTAGAATTTCAAACATTCCATTACACTGCAACATCGTATGGATTGCGTTCCCGGACGCAGACGCGCTCTCATTTGTAATCGTCTTCCGTAAAACGATTGTCTTTATAGCATTTGCAATGAGACGGGTAAATGTTCACATGGGAACACATGCACCTTGGATATTTTGAGAACCCAAAACATTAAAAATACTGGCATTGTCTCAATCAACTACGAAAAAAAATCACACAGAAACCGATAAGAAAAACAAAATAAATGAAAAACAAGCCTCATTAAAAAATAAAAAAACACTCCAATAATATAAAGTTCAGTTGTCAAGAGTACTTTATCTAATCTACTCTTAAGAGATAAAAATTATAGATTGCACCAAGAGCACTAATAACTTATTTTTAAACACTGATTCTAGACGTATAAAGCAGATAGGGGTCACATTTGCAATCTTATGTTCAAATTAGTGCTAGTATTTCAAAACATGCACAAGAAAATCTTTAGAAAGGACTCATGATTAATGAACAGCATGAAGAGGGTTATATCATATCGTCTACAATCTATCTAACAAATTCATTATTAAAAGATCAAATTCGACATCAAATCTAAATGCGTTTCAGCAATATGATTTCATTTACCTACTCAAACTGCATTCTATAATCTGTCTACTTTTAAATCGTCATTGAATCAAATGCAGTAAATCTAAATTGAGATAGTACCAGATCACTTGAACACCAAATCAATACCGCTGCAGCCAGACTGGTTGCACCTACGTACAATTTAAGTAGATATAAGAGGTGTTTGCGCCTGCGAATCTAGGAAGTCTAGTGGAATCGATCGCGTCTACTAGCATCTGTACCCGGATTTCGAGCTTCTGTAACAGGAAGTCTCTTCTGTCGTAATACCTATATTACAACAATATCTCTATCCATTTTATCCGCGTTATAAATACGGAGATAATACAATTCTTAAACATGTATTACGATAGTTGAAATTCACAGTATATACTGACGCAATTCAATTTATATTGCAACATTCAAACGACTATTCAATTTTATTTGTAGACTACGCCCACAAGCTCTTTGTTAGCAACCTCTGAATTTTGCTATACACCTTTCTATGATAAAGAAAAGAATTGTACGAATGTTGAAACTATCATGGTGTAGATTTGCCTTACAGCGTTTGGTCATTGCTAGTTTAGTGATTCTAAACTGATCAGATTTTTTGAAGTCTATCAGAAAAATTAAGAAGTTACAGGTAAATATAGATGGCTAATTTTTTTTGGAAACACACTGAAAACCTGAAAACTACTGACCCTACGGCTACAACATATTAAATAGTAATTATGTCATATTTTGGCTTACTTCTTTTGAATTTCAATTGATAATACTTTAAATAAAATTAAATAGAGGTTTTCGTTTTGTTTCTTTTTGATTGTTTTCATTATCAAACATTTGTTTCCTACCAATGTTTTGTATTTACTAAGTGATCAAATAAACTGTTTTAATTAACGATAAATTAGGCTATAACATTAAAAGATTCCACAAATAAGTGAAGGTACAGATAAAATTACCGCACATTCAGAGTCGAAGCACAAACAGGTAGGCTGATTAAGGGCATTGTCTGTCTCCCTTATATGATTAGAATGTTAGCTGTAACTTCACTCTACCGTACTAATGCTGCTTTCACACGAGGGCAAACAGTGCGGTATTGCTAATACTTGAACGCACAACTCCAAGATAAATATTCCCATGCCCGTAAATACATTCGATTACCAAAATCGCTTGAATCATCAAAAATTTTCCTTAACGTACAAAGTTATTGTCAGATCCATACATTTTTATTTTTACGAAATATTTTTGTGCGCGTTCAAATAATAATAGCAGTACTGTATTGTCTACTGGTCTGCCTTGTTATGTCCTCGTGTGAAACTAGCATAATTACTGTACTAATGCGGCTTCTCAGTTGTACTCATTAGTACTATGTCTTCAACTTTGCAACGCATAGAGAAAGTGACATAGCTTATCTACATCTAATTATGTTGGTAATTTAAATACTTGTCTGGAGTACTGTAATATCTCTTTATCACTTGATTATATTGTAAACGTAACTTTTACACTAAATGAAGAGGCTGAATACTAATCATTAACCTATTAATTATGTATAATTTTTAATATTAATTCGTTAGAACCTAGGAGTATATTTGATCATTATAATTAATTAAAACAAAGCCCATTACAGATCTTAACAACAAACTGTAATCATTCAAGGGTAAACCATTACGACCGATAACACAAAAACAATTACATCAGTTCCTCAAAATAAAACTAATGAGTAAACTATTTTTAGTTAATTTGAACCTAAACAACAGGTTCATAAAGTTCAAAGTAAGATATTAGTCTGAAATGCTTCTTTGCAAAAAATTACGTGAATTGGTTTACTTGTATTCATTTAATTAAAACTCATTTATTTGATGTCTGACTGCAACGGAAAAAACATCTTATTGTAACCTTGAAAACCCCTTAAAGATAAGGAAATTCAAAAATAAACAAAGAAATATGCCCATTATATCTACAACTAACCAAATGGTCATGTGACGAATTATTTTAAGCTCGGATTTCAAATATGTACTCGTTGCACCCTCGTTACACAAAAACAATAACTTTACGGTGAGTTTTCACTGTCGCATCATTTGTGTATTAACAATATCGCTCTCCTTTTAATTGTCGTTGAATAAATTGAGACAAAAAATGTACAAAACTCCTGCAGTGAAAGCAAACGTTCATTAAGACTTACCATCACTCCATGCAAGGAGCAAATCCTGCTGTTTTTCGTGCATTTCATTGCGTCTGCGCGGTCGCGGACGGGCTCGCCTCTCGCTCATCATGCCACATACGTAGCCCCCGCTATATCCCACACAGAGTCCCGGTCCCACACCGCACATAGGCACATGGGTTATCGAGACGTAATAAACAAACAGTCCTCATTTACCGCGACATCTGCGGACGTGCACTGAACGCCGGCCAACGCTAATCATCGCTATAATCGATCCTGATAATGATATTAAACGTCACTGAATTCGATAATGGCACCGAATCATGGAAATTTACAGTACGATCTGAATATAATTAAATGCACAATACTCAATGAGCACTAGTCTATTAGTGGAAACATGTTACTTGAATTATCTTTCGCAAAATCTGAACGGTAATTAACAACAATAGATTCAAAGTACAAAAGACGGGGAAAATCAACTAGAAATAAACCTTTAACGCAATTTTAAGTACTTCAAACTATAAAATATTACTGTCTACAGCTAATTAAGAGTTTAGCTGTTAAATCATATGTAGATTAACGATCAAAACGGTCACAGTGTTGCAGAAGCTCAGCTAAATGCGTTATCTAATCGTGTGTAATAAAACGCAGTTAATTTTGTCAAAGTCCTGTAAATAGAACGGTTACGAGGCCACACGCACAGTTCTGTGGAGGTGGTGCCGGTCGTCGCACTCGCTCGCAACGCCAATAAAAATAAGGATGTCGTCAATATGTTGGCATCAGTACGATAGGGGTCACCTCCGCACTGGGCTGTCCCGCTACTACACTCGACTAACGCACCCACGGCCTTGTTGGCCTAATAGGCCCAAACAACTTTTTGTTACACTAGAAAAGCAAAAAAAAGAATAATGTTCCGTGAAAAAGAAATAGAGTCATGTATATAAAAAATATAGTCTATGTATAGTTGAGTAACTACGCCGCAGATTAAACAAGCGCGTTATGTAAACGTTGACCCGAGTATCTTTTTACTCATATTCGTCTCTTGAATATTCGTGCCAACGTGATTTTATAAATTCTTACATTTTTAAGTGCTCTCGAAGTTAACGGCATTTAATTGAACAATTTAAGCCCGCTTTTTAAGCTCGTTTTTATTAACGCACGGTTAATCATACAGTCAATTTTAAATTAAACAAACACTCTTTGTACAGGTTACGTTGATATAAAGTTTATATATAAATGTCAAAATAACCACTGTTAAAATAATTGAAAGGACTGTAATAAAGCAAAGCGATGTTATGATCATGCAAACCGGTTCACATAAATATCGGTGATACCTTTCATTGCACTTGATTGTAAACTATCTTGATGACTCGACCCTCTTCATTTAAACTAACATTCTATTATACGATGTAATTATTTTAAAAGCTTTACATTTTAATATGGCAGCTCTGTAGTTAGCTATTTATTTAGGTAACTTATGACTCAACTTTTCAACAATAACTATTCTTAGACCTTAGTATAATAAACAAAACACAAACAGGAATTCTTATTCTTAATGAACCTAATTAAAGTATATTCAACTATTTTCTTATGTTTGTTGAAGTTATAGAAAAGGGAAATGTGAGGCGAGATAGCGTTAGTTAGACAGGCGCGGGAGAAAGCGCGGCGATCGACTGGGCCGGCGCTCGCGCCGACCACCCGCCCGCCCAGAATAGCCACTGGCCCGATGCCAGCACCTCGTTATCCCCTTCATTCATAAGCCCTACGCTATGAAGCCTCCTACAGTGTTACTTTGTCTCAAACATAACAATGTACTTTCCACTAACGAACTAAAAATCGTAAACATTACTTCAAAATATCAACGCCTTAGTATTTCGTTTACCATCGCGTTAGGGTTTTGTTATGATTCGCCATTTTTTTTGTTCTAATGTATGATAGTATAATAGCATTTTGGGATTACACCACTTGTTGGATACCATTTCATACCATTCTATGGATTGTTCGATACCACTTAAAAACTAAGACTACAATGCCGATTAGACTATTCTCCTGACATAAATACGACAGCAACTACTCCAAAATGTTAAAATAAACTAGCTATTGCCTGCGACTTCGTTCGC